CATGTTCCCTGCAAATTTACCAAATCAATCATTCCAGCCAAAACATGCGCGATTCAATGCGACACATTTCCCCATTTTTATTTCGATTCGACTGATTCCATGAATCGACCCTAATCTACTTTAAATTACCACATATACTCCATAATTCAAACAACCACAAACCATAAGACCATAAGTCCCACAATTTATGTCATAAAACAATATAAATATGAACAGCGAACAAACTGTAACATGCACAAGAATAAATATCAAAAAGTGAAGCTAACGGATCACAATCAACTAAGTGTAAGTGATCTAAGCATGTGAGAAGTCTATTGAAGATACTTCAGAGCAGCTGCATAATGTTTCTTAATTTATTAAATCAGCATTTACAACTCATTACGAGTTTATGGAATAACATACGTGGAATCTAATGCCTTGTAATAAATGTAAGTTATAATGTAAATAAATGTAAATGTAATCAAAATGGTGCAATATGTAATAAATGTACTGAAATGATGCAATAAGTGTAAATCTAATGCCTTATAATAAAGTAAATTAAAATGTAAATAAATGTAAATCTAATAAAAATGATGTAATAAACGTAATTAATATGAGGTAATAAGTGTAAATCTAATGCCTTGATAAAATAGAGAATGAAATCAACCTGATGACAGTTCGACTGTCCTTATCGCCCACGTACGTGACCACGTAAAAGTCCGGACACCAAAATTCTGCTTCTCTCTCCCAATTAATCAACGTCGACAACGGTGCAGCCACCTGAATATGTCACCTTATGGCAATCGTAATCAATCATAAAACTTTCCTAATAACTAAACACGACAAAATGAATGCAACACAAATTCCCTTTCTGCCATTTTCACGCTTATTCTCCACCTTCAAAAATATTTTCCATGAATCATGAAAAAAAAAACTCAAAAATTTATTCGATTTAACCGAAAAAACAAAATTCGATCTAAGTAAATCGCTGTATCCAAATTCATTTTCTCACCGTTTCAACTTTGTATCGATCAAAACTTCAAATTTATTTATATAACACTAAACAAATACTCATCGGTGAATGTCGTCAATATGAAAAGCGATTTGAAAATTGTAAATTCGCAAAATCGTCGAAAATAACTCCAAAGGATAACTGAATATCATAAATAAACTCACCAAGAATGGTCCTTTCGTATGTCCTTCCTTCACCAACGAGTACAAGAACACCATCGACTGAATTGTTTTACCCAGACCCATCTCGTCGGCCAAGATGGCATCGGTGCCTTGTGACCAACAATGTCTTAACCAGTTTATACCCTCCAATTGATAATCGTGCAGTTTACCGCCTGTCTCGTTGGTAAAATCTGGCTGCTCTTCGTATTTCTTCCGAATCTGAAACCAATTCACTAACTTTCATCACTTTGAGTTTTGCTGATATGTAATCATATCTGCAAAGATGCATAAAACAAAACAAAACAAAATGAAAACAGCATAATAAACACAACACATTAGCAACAAATTCAATACCAAAAATAATAATAATGAAAAAATAAAAGTAACAATAACAAAAATAATAACAAAATTCCATTTAAAAACTACAACTCACATCAAATTTGACGTCCCTTTTCTTCTTTTTCTTATTTTCCTCTTCCTCATCGATACCGTCAGCTGCCCGTTTGGCTGCTATCTTCTTGGCGATATGTTTCGGTATTATATCGCCGTTCATACGTTCGCTGAAGCAATCACTTTCACCATTTATCCAAAATCATCAACTTCACACAAATTTCACCCTCACACAGCCATCATTCAACTATCAATCTCATAATAACTAAATTATTACTGATGCTTCCAATATTTCACCATGTAATAACTAAATAAATACTAATACTTCATAGAGTAAACTACTAACAAGGCAAGGTCACGAACTTACCCCTGCGTTTCAAGACGAGATACATATCATATTGTAGAGCTCGTGTAGCTGATTATATATGCAAAAATTTTTTGCGTAACACAAATGCGACGTACCGTATGCACCGATGTAATTACCGATGTAAGTAAGTAAGTAAGTGCTGATGCTGCCCGTATTTCACAAAGTAGTCAATCAAATAAAGTAAATCAGTACCGATGCTGCCAGTACTTCATGATGGCCTCCTCGTAGCCGATAATCTCGAAATCGTCGCGTTCCCATGTCGCCTGCTCATAAACCAACTCTCGCCATTTCACCAGATAATCGAATTGTGTTTTACCGTATTGCACGTGATTTATTATGCGATGCACTTGCATCCATTCCGGTTTCACACCTTTAATATCACTGTTCATATCACATTATCATTACCACTACTGCTGCCCACTAATCAGACATAATTCGTTGATGGATTTGGTCACTTTCTGTTTGCTTCTCATGCTGAACAGTCAATGAATACTATCGGATCTCACATAAAATCAGCAAAAAATTATTGCTGCCGTTCAAATTAATGACACCATTCACTGAGATTTCAATTGCTGACTTGATTGTTGACTTTGGTTGCTATTCAATTTAAATACTCATATTCAAAATTATACTCGCACTCGCAATACACAAAAATATGCACAGAATCAATAAACTAACTCAATCAAATTATCCGCTGCCTCAAGCAAAGAACCAAATCAAAACAACAAACACCACGAACATATCGAAACGAACGAACGAACCGTATCTATAGAATCTCTCCTCGAGATTATGTGGATCTGATTCGCGATCCTTGCCCTCGATCACCCCAGTATCTGGATCCTCTTGACTTCCGTCATCTACTTCAGGTGGCGTCTCCGGGTCCATTCTACGCCAGTACATTCGAAGATACTTTAAAAACATCGATCACTTATCAAAAAATCATAAATCCCATTTTTAAAACTGATAAATATTTAAAAATAACAACAAAATGAGAGCAGATGAATAAATTCAAAATCTAAATCAATTAACCTGAGGGAAATGAACATCGAGCAGCATTTCGTTCACCCACTCGCAATGCCAATAACTCATATATTTCCACTTCACAAACAGCTCACGTTCCTTTCTCGGCTCCATTTTCTTCGGTGGCTTCAACGCGATTCTTCTTCCCGTATTCTCTGGCGATTCCAGTTCCTCAAATAATCCTTTTCACTCTAAACACTATTACAAACCTTTTGCCAGTAACTGATTTCAAACAGTCCCAAACCTCAGTCATTGCAAAGTAAAATATATATTGAAGTCATATATATTGAAGAACTGAAGAGAATTCACATTTATTGACACTCAGAATATAGCTCTTTCATTTGTTCTATTCGGAAAATTAATTTCAAAAGTTCCATCAATAATAAGAAAGAAATTTTATACATGAAAATATTCTTTACCACCACAAAAACTTGCAATCAACTAAGAACTAAGATTTTGCACTTTGCAATCAACTAACAGCTCTCAAACGTCAACTAATTATCAACTAATTTTGCAAACTAAGAAATCGAATAATTTGCAATCAATTAACAAATCTCGAACGTGTGTTTTCATCTCATATTTCGAATAAATTCCAACCAATTGCATATCAAAACGTTTCAAAAAATTCAACCCAAACCAAACTCAAATCAAAATCAAAACCTTTTGTTCTTCTTCAGTCATCGGTGGTGGATACTCGAGTTCCACCCAACGCCACGATAACACCTTCTCAGGTCTGTTCTTCGGTTCAGGACACAAACATCTCGGGCACGACCACTCGCCTTCGGGTACTTCTGTTAGCGGTGGATTCAAACAGTACGCGTGATACGAACTTGGACACGTGTCGCAACACAACAACCACCCCACATCCTTCAATATCACTCATTATTTCAATCAATCATACAACTCACCCTCAATACTCCTCAAATTCTACAAACACACTTGATCTGACCATTTCTATGAATTTATGAACCAAGTTCTATAAAGCATTTCTCAGTGAATTGTCTCAATAAGCTATAAATACCTCACTTTCATTCTGTACATCTGACAGGAATGATACAAACGAAGGATGAATTTAGAAATTGATATTTGTGATACCATTATCATTATTATTGCTGTTATTAATGGTTCATCAGATCTAACAATCTAATTTTACTGAGTCATTACTAACAAATTAATTATTACTGAATTATCAATAATTTATCTAATTGTTATTATTATTTTTACAATTATTTTATTTATTAATTATTCTAACAATGTAATTATTTGTAAGACTAATCTATTTATTCTTACTTGTAATGAATTATCACTCTCATCCATATTATAATAACTGCTGATTAAATGAATAAATAAACGTTAAACACATATAACCAATCCTACATAACACTATTGCAATATTCACCAATTAATGAAACAATAACAAAAATAGCAAAAAATAAAATTGATCCAAAACAAATCAATTAAAATCGCTGATCTAACCTTACATATACGACAGTATTCCATGTTTGTTTTCACTGCTTTCTCTTCTTCATCTTCCTTTTGCGGTATTCCGGATGCCTCACACGTTGGACACGACCACCGTCCCTCGGGAGGTTCTTCGAGATCCGGGTCGATACACACCAAATGGTAAGCTTTCGGGCAAGTATCGCACAAAATGATCTCACCACCTTGCTGACATACCTCACAGTAGTCCTGATGATCCGTC